CAGACATGGGAATTTAGGGAGATGGGAATTTTGGGAGATGGGAATTTAGAGAGATGGGAATTTTGGGAGATGAGAATTTAGAAATGTGGGAATTTAGGGAGACGGGAATTTAGAGAGATGGGAATTTAGCGAGATGGGAATTTAGCGTTTAATATTGTAAGTAATTAATATTGTAACTACGATTTGTTAATTCTGACCAGTAAATCAAGGGTTAACAAACCACCGAAAAGCGACAGTTAAAAAAATTAAAGAATTAATAATCGTGGCAAGTTTCTCAGTATAATTTGAAGGGTCTCACGTAGCGAAAGTCATTGAATAAAGAAAGAATAACAGGCGTTAATTAACAGAGAATTGAAGTATCAATCGGGATCCTTGGCCGAGTTACTCAATTAAATTAGGGGTTGGTCGATAACTCCATTCTATTCCGGCTGGTATCTTAAAGATTTATCTGTCGCGCATTCAGCTACCATGAAATCGCTTTACACTGTAAACCCGAATCTGAGAGTCTTCCACTCGAGGTGGCTTCGTTCCGCATGAAAGGTCGTCCGAAGAGTATTGCACGTGTCCCACACTTGTACGAATTCGGATACCGGCGAAATGTGATTTCGCGATAAAATTCTAATGTTCTTTGTCCACTCCATTTATCGCTACCCGTTTCGCGCCCTCGTTTCATTCATACCAAACGTTGCCGATAATGTGGCGACCGTGATACGTTTTAGTCGTTTGGATCAACTGATGTGTGGATCATAACTTATTGCAGATATTTCGATATTTAATATTTTTGTCATTTTTAAATATTTTAGGATACAGATTTTGCTGTGTAGTAAGTCTGGATGATAGTTGAAAGTGTCGATGCTAGTTTTCTAAGTTAACCCCTTGCAATATCGTGTCACTCGTGACGCACCTTACAGTTCATATGTGGCACACCAGACTCATATTTTCATTACAAATAAATTTTGAGTTCAATTCTTATTAAAGTCTTCAAAATCAAGAATCGTCGAATATAAAATGTACTCAACTTTTCAATTTTTTAAATTTGTTTTCACGTTGTAGCAAGAATTAGTGAGCTGTGATGACGCAGCTGCCTAGAAAATTGTAGGTTAAGGGGTTAAGTGTTAATATATGGGACGTTTAAATATGGAGATGTTTCTTGTTCGAATCTTCTTTATTTGTGACAAAATATTGTATAAAAATGTACTTTAAGTATAAAGTCTTGTATAAACTGTTCAAGTATTTCAAAGTACTTGGTCATTAAAATTTTTATGACTAGAATTTCACAATTTTGTAACACTGAAACTGTACAACTTCTTTGCAAATTAAAAATTGTACAATTATAGACTTTTATTATTATAGAATTTTTTTAAATATTTGAAGCATGTAAATTATTGAAGTATTTTAAAGTACATGGTTATTTAAATTTTTGTGACTTTAGAATTTCATAATTTTGTAACATTGAAACTGTACAATTTTTTTGCAAGTTAAAAATTGTACAATTCTAGACTTTTATTATTATAGAATTTTTGAATATTTAAAGTATGTAAAGTATTTAAGTATTTTAAAGTATATGGTTATTTAAATTTTTGTCATTTTAAAATTTCATAATTTTGTAACATTGAAACTGTGCAAATTTTTTGCAAGTTAAAAATTGTACAATTTTAGACTTTTATTATTATAGAATTTTTTTAAATATTTAAAATATGTAAAGTATTTAAGTATCTTAAAGCACATAATTATTTAAAAATATTTAAAGTTTGTCTTTCATATTAACAAAAACAATTTAAAGGTCCAACTTTAGAACATCTTATACAGAACTATGTCCTATATAACAATCGTAAAAGTAGAAGCAATAAATAAAATTAGTTGACGACAAGATTCAATAAAGGAAACTGCCTGTAAATTCTACGTCTTTAATTGTACATAATTTTCTACGCGTGTCCGATAGAACAAGCGATTTACAACCATGGATTAAGAGATGGCAAGAGCAGTCGTGAAACGATTAAAAGGATTCCATTTTCTCTCTGGATTCTAGACGGTATCGACTTCCTATCGGGATCTTGCAGAATTATAATTATGGCTCTGCCAGAAATAATTGCACCGTAATTGCTAACGGAAATGGCCGCTTCTGTCGTTTGATTTGTTCCAATAAATTGGCTAGAATTTATGTAATTGGTCAGCGCTGTTCAATTTATTGTTACAGAATATTTATGAACCTGTCCTTGCGCTGACATTTTCATTCACGATAAAATCGTCGGTTTAATTTATTACTTTTCTATCTGAGTTTAATTTTATGGGTACAGTGGACTCTCGATATATTGCCACTGGGGTACAGTGGTAGGTAATAGTAATCAATTTTAGAAATTTTTAATTTTTAGGAAATTTAGGGACTTTGGAGATTAGGAGTTCAAGAGAAATTTAGGGAATTTAGGGTTTTTTTATTTCGAAATTTAGGAATTTCAAGATTGGGAGTTTAGAATTTCTTTATTTAGAAATTTAAGAATTTCAAGATTGGTAATTTAGAATTTCTTTATTTACAAATTTCAGAATTTCAAGTTTGGGAGTTTAGATATTCTTTATTTACAAATTTTTTAATTTCAAGATTGGTAATTTAGAATTTCTTTATTTACAAATTTAAGAATTTCAAGATTGGTAATTTAGAATTTCTTTACTTAGAAATTTCAGAATTTCAAGATTGGAAATTTAGATTTTCTATATTTAGAAATTTAAGAATTTCAAGTTTGGAAATTTAAGAGTATGGAATTTAAAAATTACAAAATTTCAGATTTGGAAATTTAAGGGTTTGGAATCATACAAATTTTAAATTTGCAAATTCGGAAATTTACTAATTGTAACTTTATAAATTTACAAATTTACAAATCTCACATTCGCAAATATTCGAACTCCCAAATTTAAATCTAGAAATTTCAAATTTCTAAGTCCCCCATTTCCAAATACCCGAACTTCCAAATTCCTTAATTCCATCGAATTTGCCGACCCCGCAAGATTTCCGTGTAATTTCGCGATTAATTACTGTAATATACCAATAACCTCGAGCCCCGGAAATATCAACAGAAGAAGTAACACAAACTAGAGCACATAACGAGCGAAGTTCTCTTCTCCGAGTCGGACTAATATTACCAAAACCAACATTCCCATCCAATCTCTTACGAACAATGTCGTTTCTTGATTTTATCTCTCGGAGTATCTGACACGCGAAACGTGCTGTCTCGACGATAAATTTTAACAACTAAGCTTTCTCTTTTGATCAAATAATAAATAGATACTTGTATTCTCGAGAGAGAGCCTGTTCAAAATTTCCGGTTACCGAAGAAAATAAAGAACCAATACGTTTCGTGCTAACTCATCGTTGTCCATTTTAGGCAACAACAGGAGGGCTCGAACTCCGATTCGAAGAGCAGACGATGGAGCAAGAGGGCTTTTCAGAGAAGAAGCAGCGAGGTCGAAGTTCGTTTGCATCGCAGCTCATTAACAGGATCGTCACAAGGTCACGCGACTTCTGACGGTCCGAAATCACCGACTCCTTCCAGACGACGCAGTTCTAGTATAGCTGTCGCGAGACCCACTCCAGATCTACACAGGTAAGAGGCGCGTTGGCTGTCGTGGCGAGCGCACGTGTTCGGGGGTCGCTCCGCGATAAATTACAATTTTTGGTGGGAAAAGTGGTTTAAGTGAGATAAATAATGTTGTGAAGTGAGGGGAGACTGTGGGGGAAGTGGGCGGTGAAATTTTGTGAAAATCGGAAGTGGAATAGTGAAGTTATAAATAAAAAACGAAATTTCGGTAATGGCGACCTCCACGCGACGCGAGGAAAAGCATGGGGTGCAAACCCATGAGTAATCGAAAGCGAGGAAACGAGTGTTCGGACCGACCGCGGAATAAAATAAATATGTGCGCGACTTAAATACGATTATTTATATATCGCGAGTGAAATAGTGCAATTTAAGGGTGAAAGCTGCCCTCGAAGAAGGACTTGCGTGAACACGTGGTCGTGCGACATGTAGAAGTTGCGATAGAAAGTCGTAGAAATTAGATTAATTAATTATAATGCAAATGTCATTAGGGATTTAGAGTGCGGGAAAGGGCGAATGAGGCATACTGAATGCATGCGGTGATTAGTTTTGGCTATTTTTGTATTTTCTTGATAGTAAATAAATAATGGCGTCGGTCAAGCATGCTTCGATATATCGTACGAACACGTGGGCATCTCCGCGCGAGGGAAAGCGCAGAGCGTAAAGGCCGGTTCGCAAACATCCAGCATGGCCGGGGAAGGGTCGCTACAGGCGCATGGAGAGCGGCCCTTAAGGACGAAGCCTAAAGGCGAAGCGAAGGCACGCGGCAACAAGTAAGATGGCGGAGGAAGGATTGCCGCAAGCGCTCGGAGAGCTGCCTTCAGGGATGAAGCCTATGGGCGAAGCGGAGGCACGCGGCAACAAGCAAGATGGCGGAGACATGGCGCGTTTTTCTCCCGCGGTAACTGTTCGGATTGGTCGCGATGACTCCAGATCTGCACAGGTAACTTATTTTTTAGATAAATTCGTGATATGGTTCTTATTACTGCTGGGATTGATGCATATTCGAGTTTGGGTAGTTAGATAGGGTATTTAAAATTTGGTTCAAGTATTCAAGTATTCGAGTGTTCAAGTTTTTAAGATTTGATTGGAGGAAGTTCGAAAAAGTGCACCTCCCGCGGTAACTGTTCGGATTGGTCGCGATGACTCCAGATCTGCACAGGTAACTTATTTTTTAGATAAATTCGTGATATGGTTCTTATTACTGCTGGGATTGATGCATATTCGAGTTTGGGTAGTTAGATAGGGTATTTAAAATTTGGTTCAAGTATTCAAGTATTCGAGTGTTCAAGTTTTTAAGATTTGATTGGAGGAAGTTCGAAAAAGTGCACCTCCCGCGGTAACTGTTCGGATTGGTCGCGATGACTCCAGATCTGCACAGGTAACTTATTTTTTAGATAAATTCGTGATATGGTTCTTATTACTGCTGGGATTGATGCATATTCGAGTTTGGGTAGTTAGATAGGGTATTTAAAATTTGGTTCAAGTATTCAAGTATTCGAGTGTTCAAGTTTTTAAGATTTGATTGGAGGAAGTTCGAAAAAGTGCACCTCCCGCGGTAACTGTTCGGATTGGTCGCGATGACTCCAGATCTGCACAGGTAACTTATTTTTTAGATAAATTCGTGATATGGTTCTTATTACTGTTGGGATTGATGCATATTCGAGTTTGGGTAGTTAGATAGGGTATTTAAAATTTGGTTCAAGTATTCAAGTATTCGAGTGTTCAAGTTTTTAAGATTTGATTGGAGGAAGTTCGAAAAAGTGCACCTCCCGCGGTAACTGTTCGGATTGGTCGCGATGACTCCAGATCTGCACAGGTAACTTATTTTTTAGATAAATTCGTGATATGGTTCTTATTACTGCTGGGATTGATGCATATTCGAGTTTGGGTAGTTAGATAGGGTATTTAAAATTTGGTTCAAGTATTCAAGTATTCGAGTGTTCAAGTTTTTAAGATTTGATTGGAGGAAGTTCGAAAAAGTGCACCTCCCGCGGTAACTGTTCGGATTGGTCGCGATGACTGTACTGGTCATGGTAACTGTGTGGACTGGTCGCAGTAATTCGTACATTATCTTTATTGATTGATTGATTGATTTTGTCGTTTAGGCCTCGACTGATGTGGTCATTGGCCCTTATCTTTATTATTCGAGTATATTTCACTGTTCTAGGACTGCATTTAGTGTTACTTTATTGTTATTCTGAATTTTATTTAAGATTTCACTGCTTTATTTTGTTATCATTTTAGTGTTTTTAAGTTTTTGGTATTTGAGTGATGTACTGTTTCATTGTTTTATTGTTGAACTGGTTTGTTGTTTTACTAATTTATTGTTTTACTGTTTTATTATTCTGCTGTTTTGTTGTTTTACTAATTTATTGTTTTACTGTTTTATTATTCTGCTGTTTTGTTGTTTTACTAATTTATTGTTTATTGTTTTACTGTTTTATTATTCTGCTGTTTTGTTGTTTTACTAATTTATTGATTTACTATTTTATTATTTTAATGTTTTTCTATTTTACTATTTTATTATTCTACTATTTTAATGTTTTATTATTTAACTAACCTACTGTTTTACTCTTATATTATTCCATTTAATACGAAAGTAAATAACTCATCCTAAATTTCATTTTCATATCATGATTTTATCTCTTCCCTTCACCCTTTCAATTTTCATATAATCACTTTATTATTTAATATTCTAAATCCAATTTCTGAGAAACACAACTAATGTTGGTTCAACTAATTTTTAAATAGTTTATCAGTTTTAAAACGCCATACTTTATTATTGTTTATTTCATGTTCATTGTTTATTGTGAATATATTATAATGTTCATTTATTATAATATTTATTGTCTATTTAAGTAGTTGTTCTTTTTTAAAAGAATATTAATCTTAATCAATGTGTAAATTCGTTTAAAAAAAAAACATATTTATTGTTTATTTAAATGATTGTTCATTTAAGAAAATATTAATCTTAATCAATGTTTAAATTCATTTAAAAACAAAATATTTAGTGTTTCTTTAAATGATTGTTCATTTAAGAAAATATTAATCTTAATCAATGTTTAAATTCATTTAAAAACAAAATATTTATTGTTTCTTCAAATGATTGTTCTTTTAAAAGAATATTAATGTTAATCAATGTTTAAACTCACTTAAGAACAACATTTTTTATTGTTGCTTCAAATGATTGTTCTTTTAAAAGTACCTTAAAAAAGTACATTAATCTTAATCAAACGAAAAGATATTTCGATTAAATCGTATAATAACACGAACGTGCAAATTAAACTCATTACAAACTGAATTTATTAAAAATATTTTAAATACGGATATAAAAATAACACTCGAATGATTTATAAACCAATGGTTATTTATTTCGGAACAGACAGTTATTTGAACGAAACAACGCTGAAATTGTCGATGAACAAGAGTTTTTAATTAAAGTGCCCCTTTTAAAGGAGTGATTCGAAATTGCGTGGGTATCGAAAGATCAATATTTTATCATTAAATACTGAATTTCAGAAACGAACTTCCGAGAAGAGTCCAACGAGAAAAAAAAGAAAATATTAAAATGATTTACCCTCCCGGGACAAGCTTTGAATACAAAGTCTGTTTTTCTTTTCTTAAGGAAACTAGTGGGACCCTTTTTGCATCACAGTATCGTACAGTTAAGTTCTTGAATCCAATTATTCTCCCACTCGACGCTGTTTTTTAGTTTGAACTTTTTACACGGCAATACTACTGCCATCGTTCGTAATTGCTTTTTTAATTACTTTCCAGTTTGAAAGGGATTTAAATTATCTGGCAACTTTATAAAATATTGACACCATTTATCTTTATCGAGCTAATTTTTATATTCTTCCTTTTTTGGTAAAAAGTTCAACTTTAATATTTATTTCTTTTTACCCCTTTAGTTAATAAACTCTAGTACCCCTATAATTTTATTAAAATACATTGCCAGTTCCTTTCCTATTCTTTTTTTTCGTTCACTCGAATTTATGGTCATCCATTTTAATGTTCGTACTTACTCGAATTAATGAATTCAGATACTGCTTCATTATTAAACTCTGAAATGTAATGTAGCTGCACAGATTTGTAGAGATACGCTTTAGTTTCTTTTACATTATTAATGCAATTGTAAAATGCAGCAGTAATTTTAAATTCTAAAATCTTGCGACACCTTCTAGTTCTAAGATGCTACAGTGTCTTTAAATTTTAAAACGCTACTGAGCTTTCGTTTTGTAAAATGCAACAGTGCTTTCAAATTATAAAATGTTACAGTACTTTCAAATTGTAAGACACGACAGTACATTGAAATTATAAAATACATCAGCACATTGAAATTATAAAATGCAACAGTATATTGAAATTAAAAAACGCAACAGTACATTCAAATTATAAAATACAACAGTACATTGAAATTATAAAATACAGCAGTACATTCAAAGCATAAAATGCAACAGTACATTCAAACTGTAAGACATGACAGTACCTTCAAATTGTAAAACATTACAGTACATTCATATTATAAAATACAATAGTACATTCAAACTGTAAGACATGACAGTACCTTTAAATTGTAAAACACTACAGTACATTGAAATTATAAAATGCAACAGTACATTCAAATTATAAAACACAATAGTATATTGAAATTATGAAATGCAACAGTACATTCAAACTGTAAGACATAACAGTATTTTCATAATATAAGATGCAAGAGTACTTCCAAATTATAAGACGCATCACTACTTTCAAATTATAAAATGCAACAGTACTTTCAAACTGCAAAACTTCCATATTATATGTACACATTACATTCCACATTATATTTTGAACTGTAATACTTACATATTACAAAATATAACAGAACTTTCAAATTTTAAAACAAAGCAATACTATTAAACTTTCAAACCCAACACTACTTTCATACCCATCACTACTTTCAAACCCATCACTAGTTTCAAACCCATCACTACTTTCAAACCCAACACTACTTTCAAACAGTAAAACACAGCAACACTTCTACATTAAAAAATATAACAAAACTCTGAAATTTGAAAAGCAAGGCAATACTATCAAATTACAAAACACAACAGTGCTTAAATTACAAAAGAGACCAACCTGTAAAACACAGCAACACTATCTAAACCATAAAATATAAAATCAACCTGTACAATCAACCTGTAAAACGTAGCAATACTATCTAAACCATAAAACCTAAAATCCTCATCATCCATAAAAAGTGACATTCCAATCCTCAAACGTTGACAAACCAATTTTAATATCAATTTGTATCCCCTTCAGAAAACGCTAGAATAAGATCAAGCTTCACATCCGTACATATGTGACGTTAACAAGAGAATTCTATTCGGGAACAATAGGTTTCTACAAGCAGAAGCCGGTCCATGGGGTCATTTGTCACCTTCACCGAGGAGTCCCACCAGGACACCGGCCATTAGTCCAGGAGCAGTGTCGTCCTCGTCGCACTTGAGTCCAGGAGCAAGTCCAGCTGGCCCGAGTCCCACAAGTCCAGCTGGACCAGCTGGCTCGTCATCAGGATCTCGTGGTCCAGGACCAAGGCAATATCGTGGAAGGACCAGCAGCATGCCGGCGGTTCCACGACACAAGGTGAGTTATTATTTATGTGCATCGATTCTGCTGCCACGTTAATTTCCATCGGTATGGTTCGTGTTACATTCCGAGCCAAAACCGATTCCCTGTGGAATCTTTGGCGAGTGGAGATTGGAACTGACTTTCATTTTATATTTATGGACGATCTTGACCTTTTGTTGGTAGTGTTGTGTTTTTGGGTCTTGGGATTTTTGGGATGGGTTTAGGATTTTTAAGGTGGATTTCTGAATTTTTGGAGCTTAGGATTAAATCTCTCAGTTCTCAAATCCTCTAATTCCCAAATCCCCCAATTCTCAAATCTTCCAATTCCCAAATCCCCCAATTCCCACATCCCCCAATTCCCACATCTCCCAATTCCCAAATCCTCCAATTCCCAAATCCTCTAATTCCCAAATCCCTCAATTCTCAAATCTTCTAATTCCCAAATCCTCTAATTCCCAAATCCCCCAATTCCCACATCCCCCAATTCCCAAATCCCCCAATTCCCACATCCCCCAATTCCCACATCCCCCAATTCCCACATCCCCCAATTCCCACATCCCCCAATTCCCACATCCCCCAATTCCCACATCCCCCAATTCCCACATCCCCCAATTCCCACATCCCCCAATTCCCACATCTCCCAATTCCCAAATCCTCTAATTCCCAAATCCCCCAATTCCCACATCTCCCAATTCCCAAATCCCCCATTTCCCAAATCCTCTAATTCCCAAATCCCCCAATTCTCAAATCTTCCAATTCCCAAATCCCCCAATTCCCACATCTCCCAATTTCCAAATCCCCCAATTCTCAAATCTCCAAATTTCCAAACCAAATCCCCCAATTCCCATACCTCCTAACTTCCCGCCCCATCTCTCTACCTCTCCAAATCCAGCAAGAGTCAGAAATTCTCACCTAATAGAAATATACTTATATCTAACGATGATGTACCTTTATTTCATGTGTCTTTAGTTTACCACATGTCGTACCAGGTGATAGGTGCTTCCTCAGTGGCGCGTAACTGCGTTAGGTTTGATTAAAGTCGTTCTCCTTTAAGTCCGTAAATTTTCATCTGTGTCGTTGAAAAGTTCGCGCAAGCTACTTCTTCGTTTACAATAGAGCTACGCGTTTAGCAACAAGATCAATAACGGTCCTGTTCCACTCATTTCTGGCACTGTTGCTAAATTACCGAACTACGTGATACCATTTTGAAACATGTCCCGCGCTGTAATGGCCGCCGCCAAGGTTTCGCTAAAATGGACACTACAGTTAATTATCCTCTTTCGCTTACTTCAAACTACACGTATAAATCACTGTGCTTGCTGGACGAAAAAGTTTGCGATTCGGGATAAAAATTTGATACATTGCTTTGATGCATTGTGTTACTTAAAAATTTGATACATAATATTACTTAAAAATTTGATACATTATATTATTAAAAATTTGATACATTATATTACTTAAAAAATTGATGCATTATATTACTTAAAAATTGTTAAAAACTGTTAAAGTATATAAAGTATAATACAGTCTGCTACTTTTCTGTCTCTAAATATTTTAATGAAAATTGAAATTATTTTTAAACACTATTTCAACAGAAATAAGCTTCATCCTCATTTATATTATTACATTTTGAGATCACAAATAATAAACAGTCATCAAATATTAAATTACAAAAAAATAATAATATCAATTTTTGTATCTTCGAACTTTGCCTAAAACTTCGTCCTATATTTGAAAAAGTACCGCAAACTTCATCGAATATTCGGATAAAGTACAATTAGTTTAATGCATAGGAAAGATGGATAACAGTTCGCGAGATTTGATATGGAACTTCAAAAGGATGAAAGAAAAAGTTGTGTACGCGGTATTCAGTGATGCAACGAGTTTACTGTATTCAACGTGCTTCCATTTTCCTCTTCTTTTTAGAGTCTCTATCGAGTCAAGGAATATGCTTTAATGGAAACTTTGCTATCGCGGAATACATCGATAATGTATCTACGCAATGAAATCTAACGATTTTCTGCCATAAGTGCTATTTAATCATAAAAACATTCGTTCTGTGATTAGCTGTCACGTTGACGCGTTTCAAACGGATAACGAAATTTTATCATTGTTGGATTACAAATGTTCTGCGTTAATATTTGAACGCTTTTATGTTGTGAAAAATGCATTTTTAATGGAAGTTTTCTTAGTGTTGGGCTCTCGTTATATCGCTGGACGAGGCTACGGTGTTTAGATGCATTTTGTTTAATTTTAATTTTTAATCCTTTAATTTTTTAGTTTTCTAATTTTCTAATTTTCTAATTTTCTAATTTTCTAATTTTCCAAATTTCTAATTTTCCAAATTTCCAATTTTCTAATTTTCCCATTTTCTAATTTTCCAATTTTCCAATTTTCTAATTTTCCCATTTTCCCATTTTCTAATTTTCCCATTTTCCCATTTTCCCATTTTCCCATTTTCCCATTTTCCAATTTTCTAGTTTTCTAAATTCACTAAATTCGCAAGTTGCGAAATTCCAATTTATAAATTTTGAATAATCAATCTTCCAAATTTCCAAATTAATATTGTAAATATTAAAAAGAAATCTTTCAGTTACAAGAAAAAAATATAGCACATAAAAGTCCTCATAAACTGCGTAAAAGTCTCAACCGGCAATATACCGAGACTGCAACCACGAACGTCTCAAGAAAGAAAAACCACCACAAAATTTGTTAAAAGAAATATGTATTAAATTCTCGAATATTTTACTATCAATATTGTACATTTAATATGAACGATCACAATACGCACTCCAAAAGTACAGGTATCAAAGGACATTTTTACGAAAAGAAAATAAGATGAAGACCGTTTTGTAGGTTTAACCTGTAATATCAAGAGCTAAACCAACTTTGTGGCCACCTCTCGTCACATTGGCACAGTCGACGTTGAAGGATAAGGTTAACAGGACATTTGGATCGAGCTTATGCTGCATACTCAAACCCAGTTGAAGATCGGTGTTGAATTTACATCGAAACGTTGAGGTCTCGTCCATCTGACATTTTGCTCCTGTTCCCAGCGTCCATTTCTTCATGCCACCGCTGTGGGCTACTATACCGTTGATCCCTACGTCCCAGTCCCGATTTACTTGAAAAATTAAATAAACGATGTTAGTTCGCTGGTATTTTGATTATTCTGAGTGCTTAGGAAATTTTGGTGAATTATTTAATGTGATAATTAATGCAAATTTTATTTTCAACAAGATATAATATTTATGTAAATTACACTTATATGAACAGTGTTCAAACACCTATGTCAAATATGTCTAAAATTTTAACTATTTCTGAGATATTTTAATGTATGAAAATGTCAAAAATTTATAAGATATCGTAATGACTGAAAATGTTAAAAATTGTCAAGATATTGTAACGCATAAAAATGTTAAAAAATAATAAGACAATTTAGCGAATGAAAATTTAAAAAAATTGTAAAACAATTTAGTGGATGAAAATCATAAAAAATTGAAAGATATTCTAGCAGACGAAAACGTTAATAATTTTTAAAATATAGCATCACATAAAAATGTTAATAATCTTTAAAATATTATAGCATGTAAAACAACTAAAAATTTGTGCAATACTATAGATACGACAAAACAATATAAGATAGACAACGACCAGTTGAATATATAAATGGTTAAACACGCAAAGTAGAAAATTTCAGGTTAAATGATTTGAATTCCGATTATACGATCGTCGGAGCACCATATGCAGAGATAAGCGAATGTCGAGCATATCGCTAATTTCGATGGAACTTTTCAATCATGATTAGTAATATCGATTCAGAGAGACAGTAATGCGAATGAAACAGACGCGAATAAATTATGCACGGCGTTGTTCCGCCTACTCGAATTGAAATCACGTTTTCATGGTATTCTCGTTGACGTATTCGAGAAAAGTTGACCCGATTCAGGATCGATGCTGTTTTGATCAGAGGACACGTGTACCATGTTTCAAACCAGAACTATGAACGCGGTTTTCATTGCGAATTTAACAATAGTCGCACGCATTTGCGATTTGGAATACTAATTCGTTGATGTATCGAATAGTAGAGGCAGATGCGTGCATTTTGATGATTGGGGTGATTGGTGCGGGATTGATTTGGGGAATTTTGAGGTTTAGAATTTGGGAAGTTGGGGAGTTGGGGATTTGGGGGGTAGGGAAGGTGGGGAGTTGGGGATTTGGGAATTTGGGAGATTTGGGATTTGGGAGATTTGGGATTTGGGAGATTTGGGATTTGGGAGATTTGGGATTTGGGAGATTTGGGATTTGGGAGATTTGGGATTTGGGAGATTTGGGATTTGGGAGATTTGGGATTTGGGAGATTTGGGATTTGGGAGATTTGGGATTTGGGAGATTTGGGATTTGGGAGATTTGGGATTTGGGAGATTTGGGATTTGGGAGATTGA